ATCTTCCCGTGTATCGGAGGGAAGAACCTTCTACTGCTAAACCTTTTTTTTAAGTTCAGCATACCGAAAACAGGTTCCGTAACAAAACGCAAAACTTATGGGGTTTCATATCAAACTATACAAGGACATTAAGGTTCGGTACGAAACTATTATATTTTCCTAAAGAACTCTGGAAGTTTGGTATTATGCTACAGAACCTGTTTTCGGTATGCTGAACTTAAAAAAAGGTTTAGCAGTAGAAGGTTCTTCCCTCCGATACACGGGAAGATTCTTTAATGGTTCTGTAGAAATTTTTATTGCGTTTTTGTAATCGTGAACCTATCTGGAGACTTTTTCGTAACCACGGAACTTTTTTTGAGGGTTCAGTAGAGCACTAATTTTTTTTAGAGTGTAGAAGGGTCAGTTCAGTCTAAAGTTTAACGTTGAGTGGTTCATCACCAACGCTAACGTATAAAATGGATTGACTTAGCCTCATATTATGTACGATATATGAAGATGTTGCAACGTCGTAGTTTATGGAAAAATGGACAGACAAATAGATATGATGCAACTCAGTGAATTAGTGACGGGAACGACTTTGCTTTATGCAACACACAGGTCGATCTTGTGTGTACAGTGTTAGTAGCTTGAACATGAATATGATCAATAAAAATACTACTAGCGGAGCTATTGAGGATAGTGAATTTCATTCACATTTTGGCACACACATATCGATTGCCTTCTTCGATTCCAATGCGATATGTTATATCCTCTCCTCGATCATGTACACGCTCGAAGCTTCTGCTTTTAGGAAGCTTTCCGTCGCGGGCACTTGTGCAAGTCAATCTACATTTGTATACAAGATCAAATCAGAATTTATTATTTCTCGTTATGAAATGGTGAGATTTGTATTGAAATATAATTATAACACAAATAGAGCCAGACAATGTAACTCTCTTCGACTAATCATCTGCTCGATTATCGGATTCAGTTGTTTTGACTTTGTTGTCGTTAGTTGCGTATGTTAAGTAGATGCTGTCACTGCTTTTCATAGACTTCTGACAGATAATGAATCAATCGTGCCTCGTTAAAACATGTCGATGATTTCATTCATATAGAAATGATGTTTTGTATATGCGATCGTTCTCGATCGATATATACCACTGATCTTATGATTTTCATGAGTAATATTCATTTAACACTAGGTATACGGTATCATTCTATATTGTTTTGATGTTCGATGTCTTCTGTTCTCTCTCTCTCTTTCTTCTTCTTTCATTGCATAAAATATGTAGTTATTATTTAGATCTTCAGTATCACACGACTCTTCTACGGACTCAATCTTGTAATGAATTATTCTCTTTTCTAGATAGAACAATCATTTTAGAGATGGATACAGATAAACAAAGCAAGGAAATGACAAACCCTTCAAAACTAGATGTTGCTGATCATTTTCATCAAATGTCGTCGTCAACATCTACTTATATTGAAAATCAACGAAATTGGAACGATGATACAGCATACGAAAAGAAAATGAAGAGAAAATGTCGTGGTGACCGGAAGGCACAAAATTTAAGGCGAAGACAACGTCGTAAACAAATCAATGGCAACACAGAACATGCGAATGAACACGTGATTGTTATTAGTGAAGATGGTAATCAAGTTGAAAATGGCATAGATGAAGACCAGATTCAAGTATGGAGATGATTATCGCCGGAGAAAAGTTCTAACTTTCGATCTTCAATTTTTTCGTGTCATTTAGGAATATTCAATGAACATTCAACACGTTTTGAAACCAGAAAACAAACGAAAACGTCAGGAGTCAAATAGGGATGATGTCCAAGTGAGTCGATCATTTAGTCAACTATCGATATCGCGAGGAGCTGCGAAAAAGAAGAAAAAGATTACAACAGCAACAAGCAACGAATCAGCTACTGGATTATTGAACGGAACCAATGATGACATTCAAGCAAGAAAGCGGAATGACCAAGAAGAAAATGATGATACTGATGAAGTATTAACAACAAATTCTTTGCATCAATTTAAACCAAAATACTTACGAACGTCTAATCGAATATTCACACAAATGTTATCGAATTTATTAGACGCTAATGAAAATATCATTCAATGTTTCAATACAAACGAAAAACTTCAATTCCTTCGGGAAATGGTTGAAGTAATTAATAATTACCAATACTTTGATTTACAACAACAATTGTGGCGTCATTATCGTAATATCAGTATGAAAGAAGATCAGTCGGTGCTGAAATTGTCAAAACAAGATGCGAAAGAATTGAATACATGTCGTACATATGGGTTTCCGAAACATGTGATTGAAAAACGTCTGAAAACAATCGAGCATCAATTACAACGTACTTCTAATGAGTTACAACAATATAACATAAAATTGGGAGAAAATGCGCAACAATGGCGACCATCGTTTAATTCAAGTCTGCTATGGCATGTTCTACATGAATTTATCAGAAAAGGTCAAAAAAGATTAGAACAAGAACTCTTATATCGCCAAACAATGTCGGGATTCAACGTCATCGATCGGCAGTTGATTGCGAAATTTTATCAACTACGGCCAAATGAAGAACAGGTTTGTGTACAACAATCGAACAAAACTTCTGACGGTTCGCTCATATACTCTTTTCTCTTTTAGATACATCTAGCGAAAACGATTTGGCAAACAACAGCAGATAAACTAAAAATGCACGAACGTGAAGAAATCTTACGTAAACGTATCTATTTACAACGATGACCAAGTAATATTGATCAAATTATTAACCAATCCGTTGATGGCATACAATATCAGCTCAACAATCCTATGCTGGATAAAGATCGACGTGCTAGTTTAATATCATCATGTTCAAAAACAATCACACAATACAAATTCGATTTAATGGCTTCAAATCTTGACGTAATCCAAAGCACAAGATATGGCCATGAAGAATCACTTCAGAATTTACAAAATCAACTATCAGAGTCCAATGCCAATGATTTACTGAAACAGGCTATTGAAGATCGTCGACAAGCAATGACAAACCGTCATGAAATACACTTGAAGCATCATTTGAATACTTTTTTCGACGAGGCTCCGCCGACGGTATAAAACCAACGAAGAAGCGAAGTCATCGTCGTCGTCGTCGTCGGAGCGAAATATCTATTTATAAACAAATAACTGCTTCTACACCATTTATTCAAGTTGATCTTAAATTAACATCAGCCCAAATGTCAATGTCAATGAATGGTTTTAAATATGTTGTGCCATATCAAAGTCAATGTTCTCCTAAACCAATCGAACGAATTCTTACTGACCAATATGAAAATACATCATTTATCGTCAAGAACTGTCTACAAGATCATCGGATGTCAATTAACAATGAACGATCTGAAATGATATTTGCACAGCTACGATATGTGTTCAAAGGATTAAAATCTCACAAAGTGCCAAAAAAGTTAACCAAACGTGCTCAAAAGGAATACCAGGTTGTTCGAAGTATACGACGACTTCTGCGTCAACGACCAGATATTGTCGTACGACGAACTGATAAAAACAAAGTATTCTATATCGGTAAAGCAGCTGATTTTGATCGGAAAGCTGAAGAATTTATGTTAAAAACCGAAGCTTACGCAGAAATTACAAGTGGTATTTGTCCCCTAGCAGAAAATTTGAAAAGTGTAAAAGTTCTACTTGATTACTTACTAAAGAAAAAAGCATTAACAAGACAATTATATAATCAATTATGTCCAAAAGAAGGTCAATTAGAATTAGGTCATTTTCATGGCCTGCCCAAACCCCATAAGGTAAACATATTTCGGAGAAGGATCGATTGTATGCACATATTTCTCTTTTGTAGCCTGGAACACCTATACGACCGATAATAGCAAGCATGCATGCACCTGCCACATTGATTTCGAAATTTTTGAATGATCTATTAGCACCTGTCTATTTACAAGTGACACGTGATTACACACTTATTAATGATATTGATGTTGTGCGCCGACTAGAAGAGTATGCTGCTAATGGATATATTACACCAACAACAAAATTTATAACAATTGATGTTGAAAATCTTTATACAATGATACCACGACAAGGTGCATTATGCGCATTAGCTCGGTTTTGTATGAAACATTCAAAACAAGGCAAAATTGGGACTTTGGCATTGGATCATATTATGAAAATGGCTCGTTTGATATTGGATACAAATTGTTTTGCTTATAACAACAAATATTATCGACAGATTCGAGGTGGAGCAATGGGTTCAGCATTCACACAAGTATTAGCCAATATTTATATGTTCGAGTGGGAACAAGATTTAATTGAACACCAACAGTTACATCACGGCATGTATGGAAGGTAAGTGACACGTGTAGGTTACGAACACTACTAGAAGTATTAACAAGTCTTCTTTTTCAATAGATACATTGATGATATATTCATGACCACAGATCAAAGCATCGAAGAGATCAATATTGAACTAGAGAAGGCGAACAACAAGGACATTAACATCAAAATTTCAACATCCATTAATACGTCAGTTCATTTCCTCGATGTAACAGTTAGCAATGAAAGTGGACACTTACGCACATCCATCTATCATAAACCAACAACCGAGCCATATGTGTTACCCTATACATCTGATCATCCGCGCCATATCTATCGTAACATTCCATATGCAGCATTGTTACGTGCTGCTCGTATTTGTTCAACTGTCGAAGATTTCCACTCGGAATGCATACGAACAGATATGTCATTATTATTAAACAAATATCCACCACGTTTTATTACTGAACAATTTCAACGTTTCTTTCAGTTGAACGATGCAATATCTATATCATCACAATTGAATAAAGATGCTTACCAACGTCTACATCAAACATCGTTACATCAATCAACACGTCGTGAAAAGAAACTAAACATCATGATGTACAATCCCATTGAAAATCCATTAGTGTTACAACCAAAAGTGTGGAACAAGGAAGTGATGTATCCACGATATTTGTTTGATTCCAGCATTACCAAGGTTTATTCAAACCAATTCTATAATTGGTGGAAACACTACTATGCCTTTCCAACTTCACCACTTCAACAAGTCAAAGTCATTCTAGTCACAACTACCAATCCTACATTAGACCAGTTCTTTATTCATAAAAAACCTCCACGTACAATCTTAAGAAAAA